GACCAGGCCAGGAGCCCTTGGCCTTCTTGGCCCCAGGGCACACTGTTGGCTCATGTTCAGCCGGCTGTCAGCACCCCCAGGTCCCTTTCTGCCTGGGCACTGTCCAGCCAGACTGTCCTCAGCCTATAACGCTGCAGGGGGTTATTGTGGCCAAAATACAGGACTCAGACTTATTAAACTGCATCTTACTGGGCTCTGCCCGTCCATCCAACCATTCCAGGTTTCTCTGCAGAGCCCTCCTACCTTCCAACAGATTGACACATGATCCCAGCTTATGCCGTCTGCAAATTTACTGATGAAAGACTCAATCCTCTCATCTATGTCATCAATAAAAATGTTGAACAGAACTGGCCCCAACACAGACCCCTGAGGGACACCCCTGGTGACAGGCCCCAGCTGGTGCAGCACCATTCACCAGCACCCTCTGGGCCCGGCCATGCAGCCAGTTCCTAACCCAGCACAGAGTGCTCCTGTCCAAGCCGTGGGCTGCAGCTTTTCCAGGAGTGTGCTGTGGGAGACAGTGCCAAAGGCCTTGCTGAAGCCCAAACAGACACATCCACAGCCTTTCCTGCATCCACCAGGTGTGTCACCTGGTCATAAAAAGAGATCAGATTGGTCAAACACAACCTACCCCTCCTAAACCTGTGTGGGCTGGGTCTGATACCCTGGCCATCCTGTAAATGCTGTGTAAGGACATTTAATATAAATTGTTCCATAATCTTACCTGGTACTGAGGTCAGGCTAACTGGCCTATAATTTCTAGGATCCTCTTTCCCACCGTTTTCATGAATTGGTGTCATATTGGCCAACGTCCAATTATCTGGAGCCTCACCAGTGAGCCAAGACTGCTGATAAATGATGGAGAGTGGCTTCACAAGTTCATCTGCAGCTCCCTCATCACCCTGGGATGGATCCCATCTGATCCCATGGATTTATGCACATCCAAGCAGCTCAGCAATTCTCTGACTGTCTCCCCGGTATAGAAGGGGGACCATTCTGCTCTCTGTCACCATCTGCCAGCCCAGGAGGACAACTGTCCTGAGGACAAGCCATCTTCCCACAAAAGACTGAGGCAAAGAAGGTATTAAGCACTTCCACCTTCTCCTCACCTGCAGTTACTAAGTTCCCTCCCATCCAGTAAAGAACAAAGGTTGGTCTTACCTTTCCTTTTGCCATTAATATATTTGTGAAAACATTATTATCCTTTACAAAAGTTGCCAAATGAAGTTCCAACTGAGCTTTGGACTCTCTAATTTTTTCCCACATGCCCTAGCAACCCCCTTAAATATTTCCTGAGACATCTGACCCTCCTTCCAAAGATGATACATCCCTTTTTATTTCTAAGTTCCCTCGAAACCTCATTGCCCATCCAGGCTGGATGATGGTCTCATCAACTCATCTTTCAGCACACAGGGACAGTCTGTTCCTGTGCCCTCAAGCTCTCTGTTTCAAAGCAGACTCACCTTTCCTGGACCCTTCTGTTTTTAAGGGCTGCTTCCCAAGGAACTCTCTGAATAAATCTCCTAAATAGCTCAAAGTCTGCTCTCCAGGAGTTCAGTGTAAGAATCTTATTGATGTTCCTCCTGATTTCACCAAGTATCAAGAACTCCAACCATGACATCTCCCACCAGCCCAGCTCTATTTACAAATAACAGGTCTAACATAGTCCTTCTTTTGGTGGGCTCGTTCACCAGCTGTGACAAAAGTTGTCATCCACACGTTCTAAGAACCTCCTGGACTGCCTCTTTTCTGCTGTACTAAGTTCCCAGCAGATGTCTGGCAGGTTAAAGTCACCTACAAGAAGAACAAGGACTGATGATACTGGTGATGGTGAAGAAAGGGAGGTTTTAAAGAGAGCAATGTCACTGCTGATGGAGAGATCCCAGGGAAACACTGCAGAATTCCAGCTGTACACACAGCAGCTGTGGCTTTTCATGGTAAATAACAGAAAAACTCTGCAGACTTGTCAATAAACTTGGATATTCACTCAGGGGTAAATACTTGGAACAACAATGCAATAGCTTCAAGCTCAGCAGAAAAATAAGTGTCATACTACAAAACTTGGGCAACCCTGCCTTAAGTCCTTATAACAGCCTGAAAAGAAATAGAGATTGCTACTGGGGAAGCATCAGTCACCTTTCACCTCACCTTTGAAAAGAAGTGCTGTGATGCTTTTCTTACTTTGTGTCAAAAACTTCTGCCCCCTGAACTGAGAAAGTGACTTCTTCTTGAAGACACTGCACTCACTTTAAACCTGAGGTTTATAGTCTTCTGTCAATCACTTCTTCCATCACTAGAGCAATGAATTTCTACAATAACCTTGTGCTTGAGTCAATCCTTTCTCTGAGTTTCACAAGATTGCATTTTATCCCAGCAGTTTCTTGAGTCATCATGGTGTATCTAGTAGCCAGAAGAGGTTCTGTGCTTTGTATTTCCTTGCCTGAGAGGCACAGAGCACCTGAAGTTCTGCAGAGCCCCAGCTCCCACACAAGGCTTGCTGCAAACCAACCAGCTGAACAAAACACCCTTTGCCATTACCAGTGTAGCAGTAAACCATGAATATTCATGAATTATTGCCCTGGTTTTATACATTAACTCCATCACAGCTTTTCCATGTAGCCTTGCATATGTGCTCTTCATTTCCGTGCCTTCTAGCTATATTCTGCAAATTGCTATCCCAAAGCTCTGGTGGTTTTAGCAAACGGGCTGTCAGAGTTAACCTGATGAAAGAGTGCATTGATTCAGGAGAAGGGGCCTTTGCTCCAGCACATGGTGCTGTCTGCTGACACGTGAAGCATGGGGCTACAGGGCAAAACCACTCGAAAACAGTGACAGAAAAGACAAACCAGCTCTGGTTTACCTTTGCATGGGAGCTGAGCTGGGACCCCAGCCTCCTGTGGAAGTGCTTCCATCACAGGGATCAGGAGGGTGCTGCTCCTTCCCACTCTCTGTCTCTGTGGGAAGATGTGGCTCCTGCAGAGGGCAAGGGGCACTTGGTGTGGACCTGTTGTTTGACACTGCCACTTGAACTGGGGTAATGGAATCATAGAATGGTTTGGGTTGGGAGCAACATTAAAGATGATCTCATTCCAAACCCTCCCCACCATGAGTAGGGACACCTTCCCAAGGACCAGGCTGCTGAGACAGCCCCATGCAACCTGGCCTTGAACACTTCCAGGGATGGGGCATCCAGAACTTCTCTGGGCAAGCAGTTCCAGGGTCTCACCACCCTCACAGTAAAGAATTTCTTCCTAATATCTAAATGAAACCTCTTTCAGTTTGAAGCCCTTATTCCTTGTCCTACCACTTCATGTTCTTGGAACAAGTCCTTACAAAAAGGATGAGCAGAAATGCCTGAGTTTTAACTCACAGGTGCTGGGGGTTGAAGGGCAGCAAGGGAAAAGCTTTGAGTGCTGATTCAAGAGAATTTTTTGGCTGGGGCTGGGACACTGCTGAGGGAGCAGCCCACTCTGGTGATTCTTCTGCATCTTACAGTGAGTGGTGAAGGCAGCCATGGGGTCTGGTCCCACTCCCAAGATCTGCTGTGCCTGCCTGTGTTCCACATCTCATCACAGGGAGTTACCACTGCACAGCTCCCCCACCATGCACTCCTGGCTAGGTGTATATATACACACACATATTCAATGTACATATTTATATACAACTGCAATATATAGAGTATGCACTCTGTGTGTGTATGTATTCATCTGCAACTGATCTGGAACTGATCCCTCTATCACAGAGCCAAGGCCCCAGCACCTGCCAGATTTCTCACAAGTAGTTTACAGAGGGGGCCTGGCCCTCCCTTGCTCTCTGCTGGCACAGCTTCAGCAGGAGGTGAGATGCTCATTACGGTCTCCTGAGTGCTGTGGGTCTCTGCTGTGAGGGAAGAGAGAGGTTTGTGTCTTAGGATGGGTGAGGAATTCATTAGGAATTCATCTGGGGTGTTTCTGGCATCTGCAGGGGAAGGAACTGATAGAAGATTAATTCACCAAGGGAAGGTTGAAGTCCAAATTAGGAAAAGGCAAGAGTAAGTTTAGGCACCATTACAGTCATGGAACCGCTGAGCAAGGGCCCTACGTTTGTGAGTTTGGCTTTTGGTCCCTGAGTTCTTACAATAAACTAAAACTGTCCATATGTAGAAAAAAAAAATCCAAATTATTTTGCAAAGCTAATCAGCTAAAATGCATTGTGATTTTCTGTGGGTTTGGGTGGTGAGAAGAAAGAAGACAGAGAAAACACTGAACTAAGTCACCTATAGTTGATTCTGTTTAGTTTTTCCATCAGGACAATCTCTCCATTTCCATGCATTGTTACAAGGATCTGACAAACTGGGTTTATATCCAGAGCAATGTGAAATGACACGCTACAGCCATTTTATTTATTTATTTTTTTAACTCCCTGTCAGAAAAGCCTGCATAAACTGCTGAAAGGTCTTTACAGCCTCCCCGGATCAATTATGTGTAACTCCAATAAAAAAGTACTTCTGGGAGGTGCCCGAGCAGTGGGTGGGTGCCCGAGCAGTGGGTGGGTGCCTGAGCAGTGGATGGGTGCCTGAACAGTGGGTGGGTGCCCCAGCAGTGGATGGTGCCCCAGCAGTGGATGGTGCCCCAGCAGTGGGTGGTGCCCCAGCAGTGGATGGTGCCCCAGCAGTGGGTGCCCGAGCAGTGGATGGTGCCTGAGCAGTGGGTGTCCAGCAGTGGGTGGGTGCCCAAGCAGTGGGTGGTGCCCCAGCAGTGGGTGGGTGCCTGAGCAGTGGATGGTGCCCCAGCAGTGGGTGGGTGCCTGAGCAGTGGATGGTGCCCCAGCAGTGGGTGGTGCCCGCTGCTGCCCCGCTCCGAGCCCCGCATCATCCTCGGGTGCCGCTGCCCCGGCCCGGCCGCTCCCGCCCCTCCCCGCCCCGCCTGGCCCGGCCCTGCCCTGCCCTTCCCTCCGCTCCTCCGCCCGCCCTCCGCCTCCATGCTCCCCGTCTCCTCCCGCACAGGTGGCACTGCTCTCCTCGCCTCTCCTGCGCCCTCCCCGCCGCGATGCCGCCGCCGTGTCCCCGCGGGGCCCTGCCCGGGGCCTCCCTGCTCCTGCTGCTGCTGCTGCTGCCGCTGCTGTGCGCGGCGCCCGGTGAGTGAGCGGCGTGCGGGACACGGGACCGCGAACCCGGCACAGCCTGGGCAGCGGGAACAGCCCTCCTTCCCCTGGCACCCCGCGGGGCTGAGCGCCTTGGGACGCTCCGAGCCTGGTGCGAGCTGGGCGTCTTTTAAAAAAGGCGCTTCTCTGCCGGTGACTGATTGCAGAACAGCCGAAGCGCTTGCAGGTCTCCCGTTGCGCTCCGGTCTGGGGATCAGCAGGATGAGTGCTTCGATGTGCTATGGGGCAGGATGATCGTGCTACTCTGGGTGCTGGTACTAGCACCAGCTGCAGTTTTCTGATGAAAAATATAATCATTTACTTGGTGAAAAAGGCCATTATAGGGTTTCCCTTGCCAAGAGAGCTGGGGAGAAGATGCTGGAGTGTCAGAAGCTTCCCTACAGTGTATATTGCATTCAAATGTGGAAAGGGGAGCAAAGAGAGCAAGTTTCTACTTTGCCTCTGGAACTGGAACTATGACAAAAAGACTTCTGGCAGTTTTTGAGAAATAAACTTCTGTTGTTGTTGTTGTTGTTCCCTTCTCAGTAAATGTATGTGTTTTATTTTTATTTGTCTAGATGTTTCAAGGGGAAATAAGCTTAAACTGATGCTTCAGAAACGAGAAGGTAAGTAAAGAGACAGTGAAGTGCTTTCCCTTGTTGCTCCTCAGAGTCAGTGCTGTCAGTTGAAGCTGTCGAAGAGCTGTTCCTGTAGCTCCAGCTCCAGGAGAGCAGATGGAGCAAGCTCAGGACCACACTCACTGTGGGTCACACCAGAACCTCCTGCTCAGGCAGAGCCCTGCCTGTGTGCCAGGTTGGGATGCTGGGCTGGAGGCTCTGCTCACCACAGCTCCCTCTGAAATCCAGGCTTCCCAGCCTCAGGAACGCTGCCTTTGCTCTGCACAGAGCACAGCTCCGACCTTTCCCAGCGTATGCATGGCAGACGTGGCATTTATCTATTTGGGGCAGTCACAAACTTTTCCAAGGAATGCATGGAAATACTGCTGGCTCAGGCACAGGGAAGAGTATGTGCAAACCTGGCTTGCCTGTGATGCCTTGACTTGCTCTTTTTTCTTCTTGGCCCCACGTGTGCTTCCTTTTTGGAAGACTGCTCTCTGACGGGAGAGATGATGGCCAGAGGCCCAGCAGTCAGAAGCATGGAATGGCTCTCTGGTTGAGGGAAGGTGGTGGAAACGATGCCAGCTGGGAACAAACTGCACCACAGCAGATGAAACATCCCAGAAGTTTTGGCCACCTCCCCTCAGCCTGCTCTATGGCTGAAGCAAAGAATTTATACCCCCACAGAGGGGACTTCCACTTCTGCCAGGCTTTCTAATTTTGTTCTGGGGGTTTTTTCTGGCATCACTCCATACCTCTTGCCAGAACTAGATAAATATCCCACCCACCTCTGTTTTCCTTGTATGTGGGTTCCTTGTGTTACCATTCTGCAGGGCTTGTGTGAAGATAGGAGTGACCCTCCTGCACCACAGCAGTGCCCACTTGCTTGTTCAGGTCCCCTGGGGAGAGGGACTGCCTGGGGAGGGCTCTTGGGGCATGCAGACAATATGGCTTAAATCAGGAAGAACTGCAAAATTGATAATGGAGGGAATATGCAGCCTCTTTAATTCCAGCCTTGCTTCCTTTTCTGGTTGGTTTCTAAGGCAAGCAGGCCAAGCACACAGAACTGCTTCCCTGGCTGGCACTGTCCCTTGTGTGAGGGCTCATTCGTGGGACATTGCTTAGCTGTCCCTCCCAGCAATAACAAGCTCATGGTGAGTTATCAGTTTCCAGCTCATCACTGCAGGACAGCTTGTTTCCCACTAACTGCAACAACTCTTCTATCTTTTATATTCAGAATCTCCTTTTTTTCCGTAGTCCTTTTGCTTACCTCTGTGAGTCTGCCCAGCTCCTGCTTCAGTGGTTTTCTTCACATCTCCACCCCACTTCCCTGTCTACACCAGTCTCTTCCCTCACATCCTCCAAAAAATCCCATGCACACTCATGCTCCTGATTTCTCCCTCATTGAAATGAACCATCTGAAGGCAAGGCTTCTCCTGCTCCTACACACTTCTTGTTTCACAGCCAGATCAATATCTTCTGTTATCATTTCCATGTGTGGTCAGGGGCTGGTCAGTCACAGAATCATAGAACTGTTACATTAGGAGAGATCTCTAAGTTAAAGTCCAACCATTTACCCAGCAGAGTCACTCACCACTAAACCATGTCCCAAAAAAACCATGGGCCCTTTGAACACTTCCAGGGATGGCAATTCCCACCACTTCCCTAGGCAGTTTGTTCCAAAGCGTGACCACTCTTTGAGTGAAGGACTTTTTCCAAACATCCAATCTAAACCTTCTGTGGCACAACTTGAGGCCATTTCTTCTCCTCCTGCTTAGTCCTCTCATCCGTGTCTTTGGGAGCTGCATCGATTCCTCCAGCAGCCACAGCACGCTGCTCTGAGGCATGGAGCAAGCCAGATGGCACATCTAGGTCTGGCAGGTTGAGGGCATTTCCATGCATCTCTCATGTAGGGTGCCATGAAAACCTGATGGGCTTTTATTCTCAGGCATACACGGCATTTAGTAGCACTCATCTAAATGCTACTTTTTTACACATCAGTTTCAAAAATCTATCTTTTTAAGTGTTTCTCCCTTCGCTGTAATATGTTAGCAGTGTTTCTCCAGCTCCCTTAGTCATTTTAACTTCACCTCTCCTCTTCAACCCAATTTCTGCAACTGTAGAACTTGGGGCCAGTCTCCTGGTCTCTCCTGAAAGCGAGAGAGCATAGTGTATATGCTCATTGAATTTGGGTGGTTTTACTTAAATTCCTCAGTTAGCTGCTGTACTTGAGCTCAGAAATGCTTTACAAGAATCTAGGAGAATGAGGGTAGCAGAGAAATCCTATTACACTGGTGATTCCTGGCTTTATTACTGCTATTCTGCTACAGGCATTGCACTGGCAAGCACAAAGGTAATGGCATGATGTGAGAATCATTTTCTTACTTGCTGCAAGCAGTACACTCCAGGCTGACCAAAAATTTCCTGGCATGCCTTTTGTGGGGGGATCAATTGCAGCCCCTGCTGCTGCTGCTGAGAAGCCGGAGGTGTCAGTGAAAGAAGCAGCAGCCAAGGAGTTCCTGAGCAGCCTGAGGCGGCAGCGGCGGCAGCTGTGGGACAGGAGCCAGCCCGACGTGCAGCAGTGGTACCAGCAGTTCCTGTACCTGGGCTTCGATGAGCAGGTCGGTGACAGAAATGGAGAGGGCTTTTAGAAAAGGAGGGAGAATAGGCAGGCATGGAACAAGAGGGATTGGGTTTAAATGAAAAAAAAGAGAAGATATTTAGATTAGATATTAGGAATAAATTATTTACTGTGAGGGTGGTGAGGCACTGGAGCAAGTTGTTAGAGAAGTGGTTGATGCCCCATTCCTCTAAGTGTTGAAAGCCAGGTTTGATGGGGCATTGAGTAACCTGGTCTAGTAGAAGGTGTTCCTGCCCAGAACTCTTCTTTTAAAGTCACACAGAAATATAACCTCTGTTACATGTTAGAGATCCTTGCATTATTTTACTAGTAGAAAAAAAATTACATTAAGGTCTTGTATGGAGTTCCTGCCTGCTATCAAACTTAAGCTTAATAAATTGCAACTGGACAGATGAACAAAGTTTGCTTTGTGGAATAGGTGTCCAGACTCAAAGCAATCAATCGTATTTCAGGAAAGTAATTTCCTGTCAGCCTCAACCTGATCAGCTTTTAAACATGCTGGGAAATCCACACCAAGCTGGCTGTGACTGGCACTCCTCAGTGAATGGCACTGACATTATGCACCCAATGCACACTTGCGCCTCCACAGTGTGGGCAGCTCCTGACCATCATGACCACTGGCAGCTGTGCCTCCACTCTATAAGTGAAAGGAAAACCTTTGGATAACATCCAGTCAGCCTCCCTTCAAATGAGAAGGACACATTTTTTAAAAACACTTTATTTATAAAAACACTGGAGTGGAATCAAACTCTGCACAAAGCTCTACTAAATAGATGCTGGAATAGGGCAAAAAAAGTGTGTTTGCTTGCAGTCCCACATGTAGAATAATTTCTGCTTTTAATAAGAGGTAAAAATAGTTATAGATGTTGAATTCTTGGCTTCTGTCAGCTGTACGAATATGTTTAATGAGACTGCATTGGCACAGGGAAGCTGGAGTTCATTTTAAAGCTTCATGCTATGTGGATTGCTTGGAAGATGAATGCACTCATTTTCAAAGCTGCAACAATTAGAAAAATAATCCTTTGCTTGAGCTGAAATAATGAAGGGTACTTTTTTGTAAATTCTCCTGGATATTATGTGGATAAAAGTCACTTCTCAACAGCATGGCTACATCCCCCTTCACTAATAGAAATAGGAAAAATAGGAAAAGTGGTTTTATACACTGGAAGCTGAAGACTGGGGGAAAATATGAAAAGGAACAAGGACAAACCATGCAGATAAAGTGAATTCTCCTCTGAGTTCTTGTATGCATTTCAAAAACATATGAGGCCTGTTGTGGGATACAATGAATCCACTTAGTAGGTTTTCTTGAGTATTAAGACACAGTCTTAACAATGAAATAACTGTTTGTTCCAGCAAAGGACTTGGTCCATACTTATCCATTGTATATTCGCAAAACTTTTTTTTTTCCCCAAATCTCAGCCAAAAATATTTCCAAAGAGTCATTCAGATGGAAAGGCTTTGACTTGGCAAGTATTTGATATCCTTGCACACTATTTTCCCTCTGCTGTTGTGAGCAGAACTGAAGTGCTTATTGCATTTCCATAGCTGGAGGGCTGCGTTGTACCTCTGTTTTTACCTGGGCAAGGTGGGAGAGAGAGATCAGACAGAAAGCAAAAGGCTGTTGCACCCCAGTCAGGGGTGTTGCAACTAAAGGCACATGGCAAGGGAGAACTAAACCTTTAGATTTTTAACTGTAAAATATTGACATAATTCTACAGCCCACCATTGACAAGGTAATTGAAATATTAAAGGTGCTTAATGCACATTTCAGATGAAGGCGGTCTCAAACTGTTTAAGCACTCTGCAGTGGGCTGGGGGTGTGGGGCTGGGTCCAGGGCAGGACAACTCCTGCACACAGGATCCCATAGGTACAAGTCACAAAACCCCTTAGATCTAAAGCTTTCATTTATGACAAATGTGCAAAGGAGCCGAATTTCTGAAAGAGGCTCTTGCACCACTTCAGTTTCATCTCATCACTGTACTTTCAGACTGGAAAGCAAATGCACAAATGCTCTCTTTTTTTTTTATTTTCTGGCTTTTCTGGCAGAAATTCGAAGATGACCTCTCCTACTGGACAAACCTGGGGCGTGCTCGTAATGAGTATTACGGTGGGCACTACCAGCACCACTACGATGAAGATGCTCCCATTGGCCCTCGGAACCCACACGCCTTCAGGCACGGGGCAGGCGTCAACTACGACGATTACTGATGCCATTTACCCTACTGCAGCCTATAGGGCTGCACTGGCTGAGGCTGAGCCCTCCCTCAGTCAGGATGACCCTGCTTTTTCTTCTATTCAAGTCAAACAGAAAGAGTAAAGGAACTGCCAGACTTTGATGAAAGCAACATGACTTTTTTAAACTATCATTACTTAGTAGTACACTATATATAAAAAGAGTTATAGAAATAAAGCTTTTTTGATAATCAGGTTGCCATTATTTAGTAGACTTCATAACAGCAAGTTTAATTCCAACTGTATTATTACAGATTCCTTTTTAAAGGGCTTTTTCTCTTGCTGTCCTACAATCAATTGTAAAATTACATTATATCATCTACTTTGGCATATAGAATACATAATATTAGCCAGTACATTTAAGATGTGCCTTCCCATTCACATTTCTATTAACAAATAAATCCAATTACTCTTGGGAGAAAAGAAAAAAAAAGGTTTCCTGTCAATTGAAGTGCTGCTTTGTTGCCTCCTCTGCCGTTTCCATACCCACAGCGTGCAGCCCTCCAAGCCTGACATGGCAGTGCTGCAGCTCCTGTTGGGTCAAGGACACAGATATTCACAAAAGCTGAATTCAGTGCAGATGAGTCTGCCTACCTACAAAGCCTGTGAAAGGATCCTCCAGGGAACAGGCTCAAGGCTGGAACTTGACTTCAGCAGTAATTGCTGAGGCACAGAGCATCCAACCTGAGCGGCCCCAGACCCCCCAGGCACGATAACCCAAAGGTTATCGTTGCTGAATGCTCCCCTTTGTGTCCATTCCACTTAGTGTCAAGCTTTCAGCCTAGCTCAAAATAGGGAATAAAACAACAAAGTAAGCTATTTAAAATTAAATTAGTGTCAGACAGCATCCAACACAGTCCCCTGACATCATAATTTCCAACTGCAAAATTCCCTCTACCCCAATTCAGACTGAAACACGCACATTAGGCTGAGCAACAAAACATATCAGAGACCAGGCATCTGTTAGTGAAACACAGTGGATTAAAGGGAGATTGTTGGTGGCATCATGTATGTTAAGAATCTCAAAACACAACCAATTTTTGTATCACAGCAACATCAGCCTGGGAGGGAGATTTCAGCTGTCAGGGCTTCAGAAGGAGCTGAGCACAGGAGAGCTCTGCTGGCACTTGACAAGTGTAGAGGACTGGGAAGGGCAGGTGAAGAAGGCTGGCTTCTCTGACTTCTGGAACTGAAGAATCAGGATAAAGAGAGATTAAATGTGTTCTGCCAACTGTAGCAGTCAGAGAAGACAGCATGGATGCTTTAGCTGTCTCTCATCTAAAGCTTACAAGAAATTTCCAAAGCACGGATGATGGCAACACCATTCTTTACACTTCACTAGTTTCTTAACTCTGAGTGTATTCCCTAGTCTTTTGCTGAAAGCCCTTGTTGTGTGAGGGACTGGTGTCTAGGAGATGCAGCCCAGCACCACACAGCTCCCTGCAGGAACACTTCCCAGGAGGCAGCTCTTTGCTGAGGGAGCCAAACTGAACATGTTGGTCACTTCTCTGCACACACAGATCCACACTGGCCTAACATGCTCCAAACCCTCAGCCTTCCCTAGGCCTAATCTCAGCAGAATCCTTAAGCCAGTTTAACTGGTTTAAACTGGTGTGTTTCCAGAATCCTTGCCAGTAGAACTGGTTTAAACTGGTGTGTTTCCTTGGTAGAAGAGCCTTTATTCCAAATAGGGAATAATCACATTCTGAGTCAAGCAGAGACTATTTTGCACAGTTGGAAAACACCTATTCCTAGAAGAATACTTTCATTTTGTGTATTATCCAAAAAGTGCACTGAACTTGGCAACATTTGAACCATGCTGGTAATTTCCATCATTTCCCAGAATTTACATTTGGGAATTCAGACCAGCTGAATGAGGAAGAATAAAAAAAGTGCTGTAAATAAAGACCATCCCTCCCTAGGCCTTTGTAAGCTCTGTCCATTCCTGAAGGCTGACTCAGTCTCGCAGCTTTCTGTGCCTTGCAGGCTCACAACCAAATCTATGGTCTCTGTCTTCTGAATTTTCTAAGAGGAAAAAAAAAAATCTTTTGCATTATATTGTGTTGCAGGGTTAAGGAGTGGGACAGAGTTAACTTCCTACATAACAGCACACATGATAACATGGTTTAGATTTGTGACTAAACCAGCGTAGGCAGAACACAAATGTTTTTGCTTCGGGTGAACAGTGCCTGCACAGCCTGGTTTCCATACTGACCCCCAGCAGGCAGGCTAGGAGTGGGGGAGAGACTGGGAGGGTACTTGGGTGAGAGCTGACCCAAACTAGACAATTCCAAATTATGCAATTGCTCAACACTAAAAGCTGGAAAGAAGAAGAGGGTGGGGGCTTTGACTTCTACAGAAGCCTTTTCTCTGAGACTGGTGAGCACCAGGCTTGCTTGGGAGAGATGGTGAGTGGCCTTTGCATCACTTGGGTTTTCTTCTTCTCTACTTCACTCCTTAAACTGCTCTTACCTCAGCCCTCCAGAGCACCCATCTGATTGTCTCATTCTCTCCCACTGGGCAGGAGGAGGGAGTGGCTGTGAAGGCACTTTGCTGCTGGCTGGAGTCACTCACCACAAGGCAATAGCTCTGTGAGGTGAGGGCACCCTCCTTGCAGTGCAGCAGTTGCAATGATAGATAGCAAGCAAGGATAAGCGATCAGGCTTGGGCAAAAGGAGGAAGATTACTGGGGGAAAAAAAATTCATCAGACATGCATGGAGTGCTTCAAAGTTTAATTTCCTTTGACTATTTCTGTCCCAAAACATAGACAGAACTGTGCACCTCCTCTCAGCATTTCCATGCTGCTGTGGAGACAGCACAGAGCACTTCACATCACTATCACCCTCAGCCACCCCAGCACTGACATAATGTAACCTCTCCAACAAGACAGAAGAGCACCAATTGTTCATTGTGGCTCTTTTCAGAGCAGGAACAGCTTGGCCATGCTCCAGTGCTTCATGTTTCAAAGCCTGATGCTGCAACATCTCCAATTTTGTCCATGTCAGCCAGGCAGGTCCATCAGACTCACAGGGCAGTGCTGCCTCCTTCCATTCTGCCAAAGAATAGAATTATTATGGCTGTATTTTTTTTTTTTTTTTTTTTTTTTTGGAGGAGGACAGGTCATCATTCCCTTTAAGTTCCTACTTGTGACACAAACATGTTGGGGATGGGAGATTGAGCACTTCCATCCCAGGACTGTTTTCCAGGTGGAAGATGTAGCCTTCCTTGCTTAGAACAGCTTTCTCTGCAGTGGGGTGGACAGAGCCCAGATTGCTGTGCATGGCCTTGACATGGCACTTGGCACTTAAGGCCACTGTTCCCTGTGACTTTGTGCTTTGGACCTTCCAGCTGTTTCAGCATGGGAGGGACCAGAGTATGCAGAGGATCCTGCTCCTTGCTGAAGAGCATGCCAGCATCCATGGAAAACACTGCAAGAATAAACAAGCTGGTGCCTGTCCCAGGCTGTATATGGCAACAAACCAAGATGGATAAAGACTTGTCAGATCTGCTATTATGAAATAAGCAAGAGAAGGACTGAGACAAGGAACAGAAAGCCAGAATCTGGGGTTTTTTTGCAAGAAATATGAATTGTTATTTTAGCAAAGCCTCCCTGTTGATACAGAATTGCATTCAGGAGCCTCCTGCCACACAGAAAGAGCCCTGTTTTGCTTCAGAACTATTGCTGCTCTTCATGGTAGCTCTACAGAGTCAAGAGCTGCAATAAGGTATTCCCTTCTGAAACCTGAAATCCCCACACAGGGAAATGCTCACAAACAGAGGAACTATGGATTTGTGGCAGCTCCATTCCCAGCAACTTCAGGGAAGGGATGTAGGGTTGTTGGGGCCAGCAGTGTTGAGTGCACAGTTCCCTTGCTGTTCACAAAGCATCTTCTTCCTGTGGACCAGCCCCTAACAACCCTCAGAGACCCCCTGGCCTCAAGCAGCATTAAACTCAATACCAGCAAGGCTGGGGACTGGCTCAATCCATCAAACTAATCGAAGCCTTGCTCTGCCCTCTGTAGCCTCCTCTCCAAGGCAATTATGCCTCTTTCAACTCTGAAACTCAATTCAAACCCTGGCAAAAAGTGAAGGTTTTTTCCCAATACATTATGTTTCTAAAAATTTATTGAAAAAAGCAGATTAAGACATAAATACATGGATGGCAGTGAACTCACTGGCTACTAAACCTACCAGTCTATATAGGTTAAGGGAAGCTGCCAACACCTTAGACACAGAAACTACCAGATCATTATTTCCCCATATAGCAAAAAGTTAGGCATGAGGCTTCTCTAGATTACATATTCATGGAACTACTTAAAATAAATTAGGTCTGCAAGCTCCTCTGCAGCTTGTCTGTAGACTAGCAATGTGGCTGACAATGCTCCTTAGCAGCCTACATGGAGAAATAAAGGAAAAGTACATCATGCTTGAAATAAAGAATAAAATCCAACTGTGGATCTCATGCTGTTGTAACCTCCAGCAACAGGAGTGGTCCTACTTGTGAGGATCAAAGGATGCGCAGCAGCAGGTGCCTTGCACACCCTTCCTTCTGGAAAGCCGGTCCCATCCAGCAGCACCAAGCTAGCCAGCTCCCTCTGCTGCATTGTGTATTTCCTACTGAGAGTGAGGGCTTGTACCCAGCACCAGCTGAGCTCCCCATTTGTATAGTAAATTGTGAGTAAATAGGACCTCAAGTTTGGTCATGTTAGTTTTACCTTGTTTGCCTGACCAGATGACAGCAGAAAATTTCAATTCTCACATTTTCTAAAGGAAAAAAAAAAACCTGAGAGCATGTCTCTGCTTCATTTACTCCCAAATTCTGTATTTCCAAGCTTTCAGTGCTGTATTCTAGTACCCACCTTCAAAAGTGGCTCTTCCAGAGAGGCAGCAGCTCTTTCTTACCTGTGGCTCCCAACACACTTGATGCCTTTCTCCGGCTGCTATGTCTAACCCCAGACAGGAGCAGAACATCAACATACAAACCTCCATCTGCCTTTTTGAAGGCTCAGTTCAGGCCAGACAACTTCAAAGTGCCCCAGACTTTCAGTCTCAAGCATCAGCAGACTCTTAACATGATTCATGCCTTTTGAACCAGCCCCACGTCAATGGTTTCAAACCTAAGGGCAACAGCTACCTCAGCTCCTGCTGCTGGAAGACACTTTTAAAAAAGAATTTGGGAGCTGAATCAGGAACCTCTGAAACAAAACCAGGAACAGTAAGAGGAAAGCAGCAAATCTGCAGTCTTGTCATTCGGGCCCAATGGGAGGCATCACACACACCCACAGATGGGTTGTACTGGTACCAGCCACTTGGCCTCTCCAATTTGCTCCTTTTATGAAGGAAGTCAGGCTGAGATGTAACCTAAGGAACTTTTAAATCCTTCTCCCTTGAATCTAAAGGTTCAGACTTCTCAGGGGATTTTTTTTTTGAACATACACATTTTGTGCTAGTCTGTAGTAGCTTGCTTGTGCCTGTACAAATTCACATACTTAGTACTGAAGTCACTGGATTAAACAAAAAGCAGCCCTGGAAGTAATAG